TTAAACCCTCTCCAGCATGATGTCAGGTCAAAGGTCAATGATCGTTCCGATTTGTTGGTGATAGTGAGAGTATGGTGCTGTGCGTTGTATTGGTATGAGAATGTGGATTTACAGGATTTATCTTGGGTGATGAAAGGTGTTAGGTGGTATTAAGTGTTTGATAACAAGTTAGTAGTACAATTATTGATTATAGAGAATCTCATTTTGAGGATTTGTGTTCAGAATACAGGGTAGTACAATTTATTGTTCTGGTGACTCGTGATTGAATAATTGTTGGGGGATTCATCATTTAGTTATCTTGAGGTTGACCTGTATAATAATTGTCGGTTAGTGTGGTTGGTGGTCATTGTATGATTTTATAGGAGTATAGCCGTATGTTGGATGACGAGTATTGGTTGGACAAAGATGTGTAGATTGAGTTTGGGTATGATTGTGTGATGGTGGGGTTCCTCGTTTGGGGTTTGGGTTCCCCTTTAAAGGGATGAGTTGTGATAGGATGTTGTCATGTTCAGCGGTCTTATGACCGTTCTTCTTCGAGCTCCGAAGTATTATGTAGCGGTGTAGAGGGGGACCAGTGTCGGTCTTAAGTCGAGTATAGAACTCAATGGGTTTTATGTATGATATTGTGAGTGATGAGTTCCCTCATAGGGTGGTGATCATTGAGTTTTCTGGCGGCAGTGTGTGATTGCCTGTTGACGCTGGTGTCAAAGGTGATATGGTTGTTGAGTTCTTAGTCTCGGGATTTTGTGAGGTGTTCTCGGAAAGACTATGATTGTGAGCCTCCTTCTTCTTAAGGAGGGTAGATTTCGAGGACAAAATCTCTTTAAGGAGGGTAGATTGTGACGTTTCCAATTTTTAGTATTTTTCATTTTTTTCGGAAGTTGTGTCGCTGTAAGGGCACTTTTGTCATTTCACGTTTTGTGTACGGGATTGTGGTTGGGTCCAATTGCTTTTGTGCATTTTAAATTTATATGTTTATGTGGTGTTTATCTAGTGGTGCATGTATTGTAATATGTGGTGCAAATTGAGACTAATGAAAAATGGAAAAGAAAAGGAAATTCATGGGACCCACCACCACCAACTTTAAAGCCTTGAGACCACATTTTTGGTCTCTATCTTCTCTCTCCCCGCTGGTTTCCCTTCTTGCTCCATTTCCTCTTCATTTTCTTTCTCTTTTACATTAAACTTTGTATCATGATTACTCTCTCAATTCTTGGAGTTTTTAAGTGCCGTTTGTGGCTAAACAAAGAGCACGACAAGCTCTACGCGTGAGTACCAACGATTTCAGCTTTGAGCCTCCCTAGGGAATTCAAAATTAGGGACCCATTTTAAGGGTTTTGGATCAACTTGAGGTAGGGGCTCTTAATCCATGATGTTCTTGTGCTTTAGTGAGTTAGCTCCTCTTAAATGGTTAATTAACATGCTTAATTTGGGTAGTTCCTAGACAATTGTCTAATTGTTATGTATTTTGTTAATTGTGGGACTATGTGTATTAGATGATCCATGTGATGAACATGCTTATGTGTTGATGTATGTATGCTCAAAATGCTAGATTATTAATGTATGTGAGCAGGTGGTATATTCTTGTGAAATTCTTGTGTGCTATGCTTTGTAGACAAATTTGAACTAATTCTGAAATGATGAACATTGGTATGACATAAATGCATCTATGCATTTACATTGGGCAAGAAATGGGAAGAAAATTGATTTTGAAACAAACAAACAAAAAAAAAAAAAAAAAAAAAGGGAGTTTTGGGAAAGTATGTTGACGAATTATTTTGTGAAAACCCGGTCGCCGCGGGGGTACCAAAGGGCCGGAGTGTTAATATAGCCTAGAGGGGACTAGGGAGTCGCCCTAGCGTGGTTGAGCTAGCTGGGCCCCATAATGACGCCGCGGGGGTACCAAGGGTCAGGGACACTAGCCAATCCTCCTCTCGTGTCGCTGTGGGGTCACCAAAGGACAGGTTATATTAACAGTTTGAAAGTGATGTTTTGAGAAAAGAAAATGGGGAGCGACATCGGCATGCATTGCATCCCATGGCATGCTATTGTTAATAATGAGACTTGTTGTTATGTTGTGTTATCCCGACATTATATGATCCCTATTCCTATTGCCCTATTCTTTGGTTGGATTCACGGGGATACAAGAGACATGTCTTAAGTGTCACCTACTGAGCATATTGCTCACCCCACCATATTCTACATTTTTTTCAGGTCATGGCAAAGAAATAGCGGAAGACAATCCACCCTTGCCTTAGCTTGGAGTAGAAAAATGTTTCATTTTTGTTACTTTTGTATTGGGCCTAATTTTGAAAAAAGGGTTGATAAAAATGGTATTAATTAGCATCATGTGATGTATTTAGGTCCATTTTGTGTAAAGCCATTTGGGTAATGTAATTAAATTCTTATTGCACTAATTCCCGTATTTGGTGTAACGTGTTGTAAATTACGTTATCAACGGTGGTTGTTATTACAATTTGATGTTGACGCATATCTTAATTTATGTTCGTAAGTGTAATGGCGTAGGTGGTTGAACATTTTGGTTTTTCTTTGGACAGTGGTAACCAAGTCTGGATAACCCAAACCAGTCGACGTGTGGCATCATCGACCGATATCCTGACAGTAAGCCTTTTGAAAGTGAATGACCCAAACCAGTCAACGTACGGCTCCCTATACGTCGACCGGTATCCGATATCCTGACAGTAAGCCTTTTGAAAGTGAATGACCCAAACCAGTCAACGTACGGCTCCCTATACGTCGACCGGTATCTTACAGTGTGGTAATCTTGTACACGTTCCAAACCCGTCGACATGTGGCTTCCCAGACGTCGACCGGTATCACGTCCCAAACTAGTCGACATGTGGCTTCCCATACGTCGACCAGTATCCTCCTAGAAGTTGTTCATCTTACACGTCCCAAACCAATCGACGTAGTGGGTTTTCATACTGTTCATAACCCAAACCAGTCGACGTATGGTGTGGAGACGTCGACCGATTTATGTCACTTAAGTAATATGTGTTTAGTTTCCTAAAATTACACTTTGGCACCCAAGTGAGGTTACACGTAATTACTTTTATAACCCAAATAAGTGAAATAATTATATTTTAACTACCAAAAGGACTGTATTGTCCCGAACCTTATTTTATTTATTATGTGATGCGGCAAATTATTGAATTGTGGTAAATTATCATTTTACCCTTTTGGACCTTGTTATTTAAATTTAATGTGAAAAGACCGTTTTACCCTCGGATGATTTTGGGTAGGGTAAGGACCCGTTTAATGATCCGAATCCATGAGGATTTGGGTCGTTACAGTATAAAGGTAGAGATGGCACCAGGATTTTAGCGAGGAAACCCCAGTTGATAAAATCCGTCAACTGTTATGGGAAAAACCTCGTGGACTTGTGCAGTCCAAAGTAAACCAATCCACTATGCTTGAAACAAAGTATACTGAACTTTGACTCTGGCTCACACACTATCGTTCTATACCACACCAACCGCTGACGATCCTCTGGCTTTGCGACTCCCCGTCCAACAGCAACTTGATCTCAGGCTTACATTTGATATTTGTAGAAGAGTATCAGGTAGATCAGACAACACTCCACGAATGCTCAACCCTTTTAAAGTGTGACTGCGTTTACTTCTGTTCTTCAATCGTCTGAATGATGTAGAAGAAGAACTGCTTCGTCTGATCGATATAAATATGACTGTATGATCACGATCAGGATTCGAACACCACAACTCTAAACTAAGTGTTTATGTGTATATGTTCTAGAAAGATATCAGAAAAAATCAACTCTGATTTTCTGCAAAAATAATCTTCCTAAGGCTTTGAATAATATCTAAATAATAATGTAAAAGTCGTTCTTCAACCAATGTATATGACATGGTTTATATAGAGTTTAGAATGACCTAATCCCTCTGAAAATAAGATAAAATTCATGCATAGAATTTGGTACAATTCTAAACCAACTAGGAGAGAAATCTGAAACAGGAAACTAAACTTTCCATAGGCTATCAGGACTCTTAAACCTATTCAAAGAATTGGGAACAGGTTCAAAAATGGCAGAATGCATTTCGAGGCCAATGTTGAAAACTTAAACCTGTTCAAAGAATTGGGAACAGGTTCAAGAATGGCAGAATGATTTCTAGACGAAATTCTAATGACTTGAACCTGTTCTAAGAATCATGAACAGATTCAAATCTACCAGACTTGAAATTACCAAATATGGAATGTGTCCTAACCTTTTTGGATTTCTTCCTAACATGGTGTTCTTCCTTTTCTGTGATGATCACAATTATAGCATCTCTGAACAACGTTCCAAATCCATAGTCTCCGTCGATCTTGATAACTTGCATTACAAGTAGCTTAAATTACAACTCGACATGGACTTGTTATGTCTACGACAATTGCCAAAAATAATTAATATCTCACAATATTCACGAGTATTGGGTCTACAATCTGCATAACACGGTCAGGCAAAGCGGTCCTAGCAAAATTAGGAAGGTTAAGGTCAATGGGCCTCTTCCCAGTCATCATCTCCAATACAACAATCCCATAGTTATAAACATCCCCTTTTGGTGAAACCTGCAGGCTTCCAAGACCATTTTCTGTCATTCACAAAATTGAAGAAAATAAGGGGGAAAAAAAATGTTAGATATTTGAAAATGAAAAACCGAAATTTTGATTAAGACAAGTTAAATTTACCTAAAACAACCATACTTGATCAGTTTTGTAAGGCAGTCTTGGTGTGGACTAAAATACCAGCCAATGTATAGATTCTAACTTGATTTCAAAATTTAATATCGACTCATTGAGAAGTTTTGATTTCTTTAATTGATGATGTTTTAAAGTAAGGAAAATGGACTTTTTTCATGGTTATCTCGCATTTACATAAATGGAATTGAATCCGTACTTTTTAAAGTAAACATGAAGGAAACAACTGTTACTAAATATATATAAATGGAACAAAAGTTTAGATTGTTACTTGGGGCTGCAGACTAATAGGTTCCCTCTATTTTCGAACTGCTTTGTTTTGGATTTATGGGTTTTTGAAAAAACTTTGCTAGTCCAAAATGGCCTACATGTGCAACCAGGTCACTGTCAAGGAAGATATTGCTTGGCATTAGATTACAATGAATTATTGGTGTTTGACAATGGTGGTGAAGATATTCAAGTGCGCAAGCCACATCAATTGCAATGTTTATTCTTTGAAGCAGGGTTAGGCTCTGAATCACCCTCTGACCGTTGTTTGTTTCCGAGCTTGAATGCAACCACTGTTGTAGACTTCCGTTGGGCATGAATTCATAAACTAGAGCCTTAAAATCATTGCCTTGAAAATCAAAACTCGAGCAAGAAGTTATGACCTTCACCAAATTTCTATGTCGGATACTTCTGAAGACCTCACACTCGGTCATGAAACTCTTGGAAGCTCTTCGACGAAGGAGATTTAATACTTTGACTGCAACAAGAGTGTTTTCCTCTCCATCTAGGATTCCTTTATAGACAGAACCATAACTCTCCACACCAATCAAATTTGCTGAAGAAAATCCATCAGTTACTTCGAGGAGCCTTTTATAGGACACTTTCATGAATGGTTCCTTCAACAATGACTCAGAAGGTTGAACCTCTTTTTTCCTTTCAACCCAACAAAACCAGAAAGCCAACACCATGCTAACAACTAGATGTACTGCGCATGCTACCAGTATCACACTCGTTTTTGCCAAAGGTAATATAGTGATGTAGGCATTGGGAGGGTACTAAATATATGCAGCAATGTGATGAACACTAGAGATCGACCTCTACGTTGTCCTAGATATTTTTGGGACTTGTGAGTGACCTCTACGTTGCTAGTCGCATTCATAAAAATTATATATACATAAAAAAAAAATCTGTGGAATAATCTAACCATTAGTCCGGAAAACCCAACTGCCGTGTTCAATGCACTCTTATCAAATAAGAACCCATCAGGCACTTTCCAAAGTCTTCACTCCTCCAAAGTGTTCCCACTGGGCTCGATCTAATTTGGGGCCAAAGCCAAAAAAAAATAAAAAGTGACATTTTTAATAATATAAATAAAAATAATTACAACTCACAAACAAAATATATAAATATGTATATATACACATAAATTTACAGTAACAAAAGTTAATAAAACTAAAAAATAATTAAAGAAAAAGAATCATAGAACCTGATTTAGAAAACACAAATTCAATACACCAACAAATTTTTCAATAGAATAAAAGTGTGTTCATATTGAGAGTATATAATGAGTATGGAATGTACACTTGTAATCAGAGAGGGAAGAGAAGACTGCTTAAAAAAGAAGCTAAAAGATAAAAGATAAAAGATAAAAAAAATAAAAATAAAAAAGTTGAGATATGGTTGATTCACAAGCCGAAAATCGCCTATGTTAATTCCTCTCACAAACCATTCACAACCCAAAAATCACCAATGTTAATTCCTCTCACAAACCCTTGGCATTCTAGGCCTTTTCTTCCTGGCCTTAGTCATCTGGAAATTAATCTCACATCCCATCTAGCCTTCTTTCTTGGACAGCATCTACAAACAGATTTAGACATTGCACATCTAAACATCAGAGAGGTTGGCACTTCAAAATCAGTATGCACAGTTTAAAGACAAAGAATAATGTGTAATGTTCAAGCACTCGTTATCCTTCAAAATCTAATTTAGCTCAAATTGTATAACGGTGTTGGTATAATAGAGCCTTCTTATTAATGTTTACAGGTTAACTATGGTTTTCCTTCTTGCCAAGTCTTTGGTCAAGTAGGAGGGAATAATTGATGACTGATTACAAGATCGTACGTGATCAATCAAATCACCCGCACCCTTCATTTCATGCTATAAAAATTAAGCAAGTAATGAGTTATCTACCTAAACCCATTGCATAATAAAAATGGACCACCTTTCATTGAAATTTCCATTACCAGAAACACACAGATCCAACACTTTAAATTAATAAACAAAGGAAAACAAGTGTTCATAACATTAAAGTTTACCACTCTACAAAATACATGCACAGTCCCAAATTTGCTCGTCAAACAAAATAATTCATATCATATTATATTTATCCATTACAAAGCTACCATTCACATGCCACAAGCCATTAAACACTATTCGGTTAAAGACCACCTTTCATTCAAATTTGCATTACCAGAAAGACACAGATCCAACACAACGACATGCAAACTGTCTCAGGCAACTAAATTATACACTGTAATTCGTCACTCACAAAATGGTTTGAATTATTTTTCCTATCTTACTAATAAAATGAAGAACAAGGATGTAAAAGAAATGCTGAAAGCGACTCAGTGCATCAGACATGCTTAATAGAATGATGATCAAATGAATGCAATTAGAATTGTTACACAACAAAGCAAGAATTGAGGATCAAGTCACTGCCGAGGCCACTGATGTCGAGTGAGCAGATTGTCGAAGAAAGGGTTGTTAGACACTGCACATCTTCAGAAACTTCAACAACGGATACGGCCACGTATTGTTGATCACCAATACCACCCGAGTCCCCAGTCCTGATGATACAGAATCTCTTCCCAATCCCCATATATGCACAGCTGAACGAGAAAGAGATGGAATCGAACCAATCCACAGGCGGGGCTGCAAACTTGGGAAGTCCAACTAGCTGAGGAGGAGATATCTGTAGACCTTCTTTGTCAGAACAGCAATCAACCCGGTATGCAAAGAAGCCGCTATTGTATGAATAAATCACATCTTCAACAAACTCAGCCTTCCCGGAGAATGGATAGTATATATTTTTTTGGCCTTTTGACAAGATCATCTTCTCCCACTTGTTTTTGGAATTAATTAGAACCACCAGAGAAATTCCAGTAGAAAAACTCATTACGAGAATGTCTACGATTGAAATCTGCAACCGAAATGAGGAGAAAATTCTTTACAACCGCATAACCTGTAACAAAGGTACAGCTCGGTAGATCAAACTGTGGAGGTAATTGTGATTCCCATTAGAACTCTCCAATGTTAAAGCTCTCAAGTGTTGGCGCTGGGACATTCAACGAAGTTGCCCGAGGTTGTCCATAAACATAAAGTTGGCGAGTTCCAACAGCCATAACTACGGGGAAAGGTTTGGGTGTAACAAAACCATGAGATGACGACGGCAACTCAATCAGTCGTTCATGCAAAGTGTCGAACAGATGAACAGGAGCTTGGCGGATCTGGCCGCAAGCTGCGAATAACTACTCGCTAAGTATAATTCGTTACGCACAATAGCACAAGACACAAACCCTAAACGTGGAGAGGTTTCCTTGCCCAAATACTTCCTTCGATTAAAAACTTCAAATCGACCCTCAGATTTTAAAGTTTTTACTACAGTTTTTTCCATCTCTAATTTGAAAATCGCAGCAGAGTAAACAGACGAATTTGTCAATTGGAAAACTATGAAAACTACTTGCCTTACCTTCTGCTCACACGAGGGCTGAATTGATGATCCCGACACCGTCTTCGTTGCCGGCACTGGTGGTTTCTCCTTCTTCTCCACCACTCCATCCCCCAAAATCTGGTATGCCATCCTCTCCTCCACCTCCACCTCCTCCTCCTCCTCCTCCATCATCATCTCCTTTCCAGGCACTGTTGGTTTCTCCTCCTTCTCCACCATCATTCCCGGCTCCATCGACATATTTGAAAACTCCGTCGTGCTTTTTAGGGTTTGTTGGGAGGGTACTGTGCTTGTTTCGGGAAGGTTTACGGTTTCCTTTGCCCTTTCTTTTTATTTATAGGTTTGGAAAAGGAATCTCAATTGAAATTGGAATTTGAATTGGAATTAAAATTTTATTTATATTTTTAGGACAACCTGGATTTAAAATGAGATTTAGAATAAAATAAATACAAAATTATTTTTGCCTTTGTTTAAATAATAAATAAAATATTTGAATATATATATATATATATATATATATATATATATCATGGATCGGATATTATTAAAAAAAAATTTTATCTTCCACCGATTTGTGGGTGTAATAATTCGATCCAATCTACATAGATCGTACCGAATCAGATCGAATTTACAAATTATTTGTTCACCCTTAGTTTCCTTATCTTAATCACCTAGATGAAAAATGATTAAGATGAAAAAAACCAAGGGTTGAGATGAAAGTTACATGGGCTTTTAAAGGTAAGACAACTAATTGGCCTGTGAATGATTTGTTGATGTGAGCTAAACTTGCTTATGAACTTAATGAGTTGTTTAAGCTCAGCAATTTGGTTTGTTTATTTTAGGCTCCTTTTGAAATTAATGGTGGAAAGTAAAAGTATATATATATAAGTGAATGAAAGAGAAATAAATATTTTAAGAAAATTATGAAAGAAATGAAAATTTTCTTTTGTGTCAGTGTCAGTGTGTGGGGGTGTTTTTATTTTTTCATGCAACACCTTCCCACACGCAGAATTGGGAAGAATCATTCCACGAGCTCATGGCACCTTGAGGGTCATGAATAACCTTTGACCTGAACTCCAGCAAGGCAAGACGATCTGTCTCGTCTCCATTAAAGCTACTAGTACTGGCAGTGGCATTGGGGAGGATACATATGATCATATGTAGCAATGTGATGAACACTAGAGTTTATGTTCCTAATCTGAAGGAGTCGAAAGGCATTAGACTTATTTCAGGAAGAGTGAGTTTCAGAAGCCTATTCGCGTCTGCTCATGGTGTTTGATTGATTGAATAACCTTTTGATGCTAGCATTGCCCAGAGAATTGTGTGTGTATATATATATATAAGTGTGCGTGTATGTGCTTAGCTTAGTGTCTGATTGATTAAATTAATCTTTTGATGGTTGTGATATAATCTATTTCAAACTGTGTTGGCACCTCGTTGACATTTGAAGTTACCCCTTGTGGCCGCTCAACATGCATCGTCCCTCACGATTATGACAAGAACTACAATAGTAAAATTAAGAATTCTCACATATTTAAATTAGAGTAAATGACAGTGACATTCTGAGGTTAACCTAAATCACGACCTTTATCTGTTATGTTTCACTGCGCACCCACATCACCTTGTGAAATGACTTATTTATTCTTTTACTTACTTAAAAAACCTATTAACCTTTAATATATAATGTTGTGAAATGACCAAAGAATCGTATTAATAGTTTTTTCAATTAAATATATAATTAGATATTACATAAATATAAATTTAATTTGTGATTCTCACAACTTTCTAAATTGTATATATACATTAAAAGAGATCTTTCTACCACTTTCAAACTCCAATTGATGATGTGTTATATATAATGTTTTAATTTGGAAGACGTTTTAGGATTATGCAGAATAACTTCTCCTCAGATTCCCAATTAGAAGCACCAGTTCTAGAGCTTCAACTTGAAATTAAAGACAATCGACACGCGCAACCCAGAGGATATGTATCAGCAAGTGATTTCAGTAGAGGGCAGTGAATTTAATAAAGTAAAATCATCAGAGTATAACGCTGGACCTGTGGTCATAATTAGTAGGGTAACTCTAATAGTTCAAGCTATATTAGAATCTAAATCAAAGAAGGAAGTATTTGAAATCAAGCCTCTAATCTCTATCAATGACATCTCCTTATATCTGGTACAAGCCAAAGTCTGTTAGAGCTAAATGTATCCATCATTTAATGGAAGATTTAAAGTACATTATTCAGTTTACGTCCTGTCTAATTAACTACGTGGAGTGTTAGGAGGGGAAGACTAGATACAGGCCTAAGATCCTTTGAACTGCTCTGAAACTCAAACGTGCATCCTATTAGCCTTCCGAAAGGCTAATAAAGTTGAAACACCAAAGCATTTTCATTTCTCTAATCTGGGAGAGACATTAACATGGTTTCGCACACAACAGGTATGCAACTGCATCTGAAAAGGCACTTGGACATCTAACATGCTAGCTGCTATTCACAAATGTTTCAAAATTCAAATGAGCTTTCAATCATATGAAGTTTTTCAGAAACGAAAAAATCAGAATTGGAAGGCACTCGCAAACTATATATATGTATACCGGAGAGAAAAAAATATATATGCAATAGAAGGGAAAACGAGTAGGAAAAATACGGGAGAAAAAAAAAAAAAATACATTATTAGCAACACCATCAGGAAACTAATAACATGGAATGAAGTGATAAGTAATGATTTCAAAAAATTAAATCCAGTATAAGATATGACCTATGATAGAAAAGAGTGGAAAAAAGAGAATCCATATGGCTGACCATGTTTGTATGGAATAAAGGCAAGGACGATGATGATATATGATAAGCAGTGCAGTCGCAATGCAGCATCTAGTTCATACGTCAATGAATAAGCATCTATAAGGAGGGCACATCAATCCCATGCACCTGTGATACACAGAAAAATTATTAGAAGGATAACAACAATTACCCTTCATACCGTATTGTATCCGAACTCATACGGAACTACTGTGTTCCGTGTTCGCAAAAAGCTATATGAGGTACTTGAATCAGACACTCTCTTTCACATGATGAGCAATGTCTCCCTCTTTCTCACATACACACACTGTCATACTTGATATCCTCAGTAGTTAAATAGATATAGGTATATAAATCAAAAAAACATTATATGCAATTGAAGTACAAAAAGGCACAAAGACAAGTTCTTGGAACCGAGTCCAGAAACATTTTATGCAATTGAAATACAGAAGATACAAAATACAAGAAATATAGGGAATTTAATGTTTTATGGAATTGAAGTGGATATACATGTAAGTCCAGTACACAATACTGCTATGTACTGCAATAACAGCCATTTTCGAATTGCTTCTCAAACATGAGTTTGGGCTGTTCTTCTCTGCTTTCAAACTTCATGGCCCTGTAAAATTTTAAAGAAACAAGAAGAGAAAAACCGAGAAATGTCAAGAAAATGCACGTGCCTTTATCAAATGACTAGCGAATTTCGAGATCTTAAAAATGTATGTCAATATGCTCTTAAAACATCGATTTGTGTTTTTAGTCAATTTAATTGAATAATGAGGAGTTCAACCAATAATAGCATCCATGTAATACGTTTGAGTTTTGACTCTTACTATATATTATGCATTAGGACCTCTTCGAGTGCCTTGAGGAATGTTTTTGATCAAATTCAGCTCACGAACAACATCAGTTATGCCCATTCAATCCTGTGGTGATTCCTTGGAGCATGCAACTCTGATCTTGATCATGGAAATCAAACATTCCTTTCTGTTTTCTTTTCTTGATTCTCTTGCAATCTGATTTCTATTACGCACTTCTGATGTCTCTTCTTCATCAAAGTTTAGAAGCATTGGATCTACGAACTCCATAACGCCATTTGGTAAAGCCATCCTAGCAAAGGTTAAGGCCTTCCTTGAACATACTGTCAACAGGTTTATTCCCTGTCATCATCTCCAACACCAAGATTCCGTAACCTTATACATCCCCCATTGCTGACACCTCGTTTCCCAAGCCATACTCTGCCATTCACAAAATGAAAAGAACAAAACCAAGAATGGTTCTCTTATTTTGGTAACTGAATCGAGCATGATTCTGTCAATGTTAAAAAAAAGATAAATAAATAAATAATAAAGAAAGAGCATAAAATTTGACAAAGGTGGGAAGAACATAAGAAAATGAGAAAGCTCGTTTTAATTTGAAGTTATAGACTGAAATGTGATTAAATTCTAATGATCAGAAATTCTATGCCTTCATGAACTAGGAACCAATTAACAATTCACATTATTATCTTCTTTTCCAGGTCTATGTCATGAAGTACATCAGAACTCAGAGAAAGATATTCAATGATGCCTACCAAAGCATGGATCCTAACCGGGTTTCAATATTTAATCCAGAGAACTTATGGCGTATTTACTTGTGCAATTTTAATTTAATCCTAGAGGAAACAAATATAGATAAAAAGTAGTACTAATGTACAGTGATTACCTGGAGCAGTATAGCCAACCGTTCCCCTTACTCCAATTGTACTGCTGCTTTGATTGTGAATGTTACATTGTTGAAGAAACCTCGCCAACCCAAAACCTCCGACATGAGCAACCATATCACTGTCAAGTAGGATGTTGCTTGGTTTTAGATCACAATGAATGATTGGAATTTCACAATAGATGTGCAAAATCTAATTTAGCTCAAATTGTATAATGGTGTTGGTATAATGTTGCCTTCTTGTTAATGTTTACAGGTTAACTATTGTTTTCCTTCTTGCCAAATCTTTGGTTGAGTAGGAGGGAATAATTGATGACTGATTACAAGATCATATGTGATCAATCAAATCACCCGCACCCTTCATTTCATGCTATAAAAATTAAGCATTACCAAAAAGACACAGACCCAAAACTTGAAATTAATAAACAAAGGAAAAGAAGTGTTCATAACATTAAAGTTTACCTCTCAAAAATACATGCACAATCCCAAATTTGCTCGTCAAACAAAATAAATACATATCAAATTATATTTATCCATTACAAATCTACCATTCACATGCCACAAGCCATTAAATACTATTCGGTTAAAGACCACCTTTTCATTCAAATTTCCATTACCAGAAAGACACAGATCCAACAAAACGACATGCAAACTGTCTCAGGCAACTAAATTATACTCTGTAATTCGTCACTCACAAAATGGTTTGAATGATTTTTCCTATCTTCCTAATAAAATGAAGAACAAGGATGTAAAAGAAATGTTGAAAGCTACTCAATGCATCAGACATGCTTAATAGAATGATGATCAAAAGAATACAATTAGAATTGTTAGACAACAAAGCAAGAATCGAGGATCAAGTCACTGCCGAGGCCACTGATGTCGAGTGAGCAGATTGTCGAAGAGACGGTTGTTAGACACTGCACATCTTCGGAAACTTCAACAACAGATACGGCCACGTATTGTTGATCACCAATACAACCCGAGTCCCCAGTCCTGATGATACAGAATCTCTTCCCAATCCCCATATATGCACAGCTGAACGAGAAATAGATGGAATCGGACCAATCCACAGGCGGGGCTGCAAACTTGGGAAATCCAACTAGCTGAGGAGGAGATATCTGTAGACCTTCTTTGTCAGAACAGCAATCAACCCGGTATGCATACAAGCCTCTATTGTATGAATAAATCACATCTTCAACAAACTCAGCCTTCCCGGAGAAGGGATAGTTTATATTTTTTTGGCCTTTTGAAAAGATCATCTTCTCCCACTTGTTTTTGGAATTAGAACCACCAGAGAAATTCCAGTAGAAAAACTCATTACGAGAATGTCTACCATTGAAATCTGCAACCGAAATGAGGAGAAAATTCTTTACAACCGCATAACCATTAACAAAGGTACAGCTCGGTAAATCAAACTGTGGAGGTAATTGTGATTCCCATTCTAACTCTCCAATGTTAAAGCTCTCAAGTGTTGGCGCTGGGACATTCAATGAAGTTGCCATAGATTGTCCATAAACATAAAGTTGGAGAGTTCCAACAGCCATAACTACGGGGAAAGGTTTGGGTGTAACAAAACAATGAGATGACGACGGCAACTCAACCAGTCGTTCATGCAAAGTGTCGAAGATATGAACAGGAGCTTGGCGGATCTGGCCGCCCTGAAGGTCAAGCTGCGAATAACTACACGCTAAGTATAATTCGTAACCCACCAGAGCACAAGACACAGACCCTAAACGTGGAGAGGTTTCCATGCCCAAATACTTCCTTCTATTAAACACTTCAAATCGACCTTCAGATTTTACTAGAGTTTTTCCCATCTCTAATTTGAAAATCGCAGCAGAGTATACAGAAGAATTTTTCAATTGGCAAACTATGAAAACTACTGGCCTTACCTTCTGCTCACACGTGGGCTGAATTGTTGATCCCGCCACCGTCTTCTTTCCCGGCACTGGTGGTTTCTCCTTCTTCTCCACCACTCCATCCTCCAAAATCTGGTATGCTATCCTCTCCTACACCTCCTCCTCCATCATCATCTTCTTTCCAGGCACTGGTGGTTTCTCCTCCTTCTCCACCATCATTCCCGGCTCCATCGAAATATTTGAAAACTCCGTCGTGCTTTTTAGGGTTTGTTGAGAAAGGGTACTGCCGAAGGTTTACGGTTTCCGCTTTGTTTGGAATCAATTTATATAGATTTGGAAAAGGAATCTGAATTGGAGTAGGAATTGGAATTAAAAAGAAATCCTGCGTCGTGGTAAATTGAATTTAAAATGAGATTTAAAATAAGAATAATATAATATTATTTTTGTCCTTGTTTAAATAATAAATAAAATATTTATTTTATTATAAAATATACTCCAAATTTATACTATCAAAAAGACAAACAACGATAAGTATTTCTGAAACATGAAAATTATTTAGAAAATATATATATATTTATTATTTAAAAAATAAAAATAAAAATAAAAATAAAAAACTAACTTATTCCACTGCCACCACCAATATACTTAAAAAAAGAATATTAAAAACTAAGTCTACGGATAAGATGGGACTTTTAAAATTATCGAATCAGATTTTTAACAACTAAATTCGTGATTCAATTCATGAGTCAAGAATTCAATTTTTTTGAACCTGTCACCGATTCGTGGGTGTAACAATTCGATCCAATTCTTACTAATCGGATCGAATTGGTAGATTATTTGTCCACCCCTAACTTAATCATCATATATGAAAAAACCAAGGGTTGAGATGAAAGTTAAATTGGCCATTAAAGGTAAAACAACTAATTGGGCCAGTGAATGATTTGTGCATGTGGGCTAAACTTGCTTATGAACTTAACAAGAGTTTATTATTGTTTAAGCTCAACTGTTGGGTTTGTTTACCTTAGGTTCTGGTCTGTTTGGATTGACTTTTCAAATGTTATTTTTGGCTTTTTGGGCTTGAAAATTATTGTGAATAGTATTTGGCTAGTTTTTAAAAAGAGATTTTGAACCTTATAAGAGTTTAAATGACAAGTGTACCCTTTATATTATTTCATTAAAAAATATAATTTCAACCATATCCCTATAAAAGACCCCTTAATTTTATTTCCGAACTCTAGTGTCAAAAAATCTCACCTTGGTGTTCTTTGGCAATATATCCCTTCATACTCGGAAGAAGACTGATTATATGAAAAACTTAGCAACAATCCAACAAGCATTCAACCGAAGAAAAAATTTGAAAAAGATTATTGTTGTTCTCTACCTATTTCTTGAGGTTTATTTTTTCCATATTTCAATGCTCCATCCTTCCATCACAAATCTTTAAGTTTTTTAGTACCTTCAAATTGAATTCCCTTTGTTGCAACAATGTATTCCAGTTATTTACCAAAAAAATAAGTTATTATTTTTTATAAGATTAATTCATCAAAGATTCAATTCATGAGTTTATAGAAGTCTAGCCGGCAGCTCTTCCACAGTAACTGTAGTGAAATTGAAATGATATTTTGTGGTGTACAAACCAATTCACAGCCTAATATTTTTCTCTTTTTACCTTCAAATTGAATTCCCTTTGTTATACAATGTATTCAAAGATTCAATTCATGAGTTTATAGAAGTCCAGCCGGCATAGCTATTCCACATTGTGGTGTACAAACCAATTCACAGCCTAATATTTTTCTCTTTTCCATTAATTTCCTTATAATATAATTAAGTTTCCTTATATTATAATTAAGTTTGTTATTATAAGGAAACATCAATATTTTATTATAAGGAAACATCAATATTTTTCTTTCTTCTTTTTCATTCATTTCCTTATAATATAATTAAGTTTCCTTATTATATAATTAAGTTTGTTATTATAAGGAAACTTAATTATATGTTGTTTACCTCATTTTATAGACATTAACAATTGTGAAAAGAAAAAAAATTCTTTTACGGGATTCTTAGTAAAAAAAATAGAAACCTTCAATATTTTAATATTTTATATTGAGTGATTTATTTGTATGTGTTTTGAAAAAGAGTTATGAAAAAAATAGGCTAGTCCAAAAAAAATACTCTATCTAAAGGCAAAATAATTATTTCAGTAGTAAAAGAGCTTCAATAAATGTTTTGGCATTAAAAGCTCTTCTAAAATACAGTTTTCAAACACTAACAGATAAGTTATATCTTCTACTTCTCTTTTTTTTCTGCATAAAAATAGAAGCAAAAGATATGCCAAACGAACCCTAAAGTGGAAAGTAAAAGTAAAAAAAAAATTAAGGGTGGAAAGTAAAAGTAAAAATAAAAGTAAAAAATATATATCTAAAAGTGAGAAAGCGAAATAAATTTTTCAAGAAAATTATGCTCATATGTAGCAGTGGCATTGGGGAGGATACATATGATCATATGTAGCAATGGGATGAACACTAGAGATGGTGTTCCTAATCTGAAGGAGTCGAAAGGTATTAGACTTTTTTCAGGAAGAGTGAGTTTCAGTAGCCTTAATTAATTCGTGTCTGTTCATGGTGTTTGATTGATTGAATAACTTTTGATGCTAGCATTGCCCAGATAATTGTATATATATATTGTGTGCGCGCGAGCTTAGCATAGTGTTTGATTGATTAAATTATTCTTTTGATGGTTGTTTATTCTTTTACTTAAAAAACCTATTAACCTTTAATATATAATGTTGTGAAATGACCAAAGAATCCTATTAAAAGTTTTTTTCCATTAAATATATAATTAGATATTACATATATAAATATAAATTTAATTTGTGATTCTCACAACTTTCTAATTGTATATTTACATTAAAAGAGATCTTTCTACCACTTTAAACTCCAATTGATGATGTGTTCTATATAATGTTTCAATTTGGAAGACATTTTAGGATTATGCAGTATTACTAATATTCATCTACTAATCTTCTCCTCAGATTCCCGATTAGAAGCACCAGTTCTTGAGCTTCAACTTGAAATTAAAGACAATCGACACGCACAACCCAGAGGATATGTATCGGCAAGTGAATTCAGCAGAGGGCGGTGGATTTAATAAAAGTAAAATTAATCATCAGAGTACAACACTGGATGTGGTCATAATTAGTGGGGTAACTCTAATAGTTCAAGCTATATTAGAATCTAAATCAGAGAAGAAAGTATTTGAAATCAAGCCTCTAATCTCTATCCATGACACCTCCTTATATCTGGAACAAGCCAAAGTCTGTTAGAGCTAAATGCATCCATCATTTAATGGAGGATTAAAGTACATTATTCAGATTATGTCCTGTCTAATTAACTACGTGGAGTGTTAGGAGGGGAAGACTAGATACAGGTCGAAGATCCTTTGAACTGCTCTGAAACTCAAACGCGCATCCTATCAGCCGAAAGACCAAGGCAAGGGTTAATGTGACAGATGGAGTTGAACTAACCTACCTAGATGACTTTTTAGATGTAACCTTGAAACTAACCAAAGTGCTATTACAGAAGGTCAATGTCAGCACCAACCAGGCATTTTTATTTCTCTAATCTAGGAGAGACATTAACATGGTTTCGCACACTACACAACAGGTATGCAACTGCATCTGAAAAGGCACTTGGACATCTAACATGCTAGCTGCTATTCCCTAATGTTTCAAAATTCAAATGAGCTTTCAATCATATGAAGTTTTTCAGAAAAGAAAAAATCAGAATTGGAAAGCACTTGCAAACTATATATTTGTATACCGGAGAGAAAAATATATATATATATGCAATAGAAGGGAAAACGAGTAGGAAAAATACAGGAGAAAAGAGTGGAAAAAAGAGAATCCATGTGGCCGACCCTATTTGTACGGGATAAAGGCAAGGATGATGATGATGATGAGCAGCGCAGTCGCGATGCAACATCTAGTTCATACGTCAATAAATAAGTATCTATAAGGAGGGGACATCAATCCCATGCACCTGTGATACACAGAAAAATTATTAGTACACCAAAGCATTGAATCTTTTTTCTATTAAAAGAAATAATTTTACTGTATTGCAGATAGTATATCCTTATAGCTAATAATTAATGAGTTTGCAGAAAATCAGCCCGACAAAATTGTAATATATATATATCCAGTTAAACACTGACAGACTGTTTCCCAACTCAGAAACAGTCGACGTAGTCTATAGAGTTGTGTTGCCAATGAAGTTCATGACAAGACAAAGCAATTTCAAATCAGTAACCAAAATAGAACATGGTTTAGTACTGCCGGTTTTATACATCAATACATCAATTAGGTCAGGTTGAATCAAAACTGTTTAGCCAACCCTGGTGGGACTAATTACTTGGCTTAGGGCCATCAAGTTTCATTAACTGGCATTTCTACATTAGATATTGGAGCCTTCACTCTACATTAAAATGTTTGAATGTCCCGTGAAAACTGAACAATCACTGGCAGTATCATGAGGAGATCACTAAAAGAATTACTGAAACAGTATGCAATAGGCATGTAATCTATAGAAGATAACAAAGCTTATTCAATTTCCATGAGCCATCTGATTTCCCAAAAAGCCTATTCTGTTTATTAAATTTTATAAACTAATAATAAAAAAAGGTTTCCCCTCATGGGGAACACAGAATTCGCTAATGTGGCGTGGAGGTATTGAGATTAACAAAGTCAATACAAGTTTGTACTCAAATTGGTCCGACTGCATTTATGTGAGTGGGGGATGATATCATCATGATTAATGACGTCATCCTCCACTCACATTAAACAATCGGATCAATCAAACTGTCAGATTACATATCATTTTCCATACAAAAATATTACCTCTTATTGGTTTTTCATAATTCCTCTCTTTCCATGTATAGCAGTTCCAAGAAGATTGTCCCTGATGAAATGCAATTCAGTTGCAACATCATTCATATTCATTCGCCCTTTGGGAAATTCTGAAGAACAAGAGAGTCCAGTTTCAAATATAGATATCAAGCACTCCTGATCTTTTTGACTTTTATTGTGGCATTGGTTTTTGGTGCTTTCTTTGCTCGTCTCCCCTTCTCTTTCCTGAAGGAGAAATGGATCTGCAATCTCAGACACTCTGTCATGCAAATCAGCTTTTACAAAGGTATGAAGGTTTAAACAATCTTTGAATTCATCATTGGGTCTCTTCCCGGTAAACATTTCCAGCAGGAGGATACCAAAGCTGTATACATCACCATATCTCGACACCTCACTTCCCATACCATACTCTGCAATACACAGCAAAAATTGTTACATAAAAATG